TTCTAAAACCTTGCCCCAAAACGGTAGGTTGGACACTAGCTGATAATTATTCATTATGTGGGATTCAGGGATGGCTTTTTAAACAAAGGCCTCACAATTGTCTCCTTTAGGCAAGATGGAACTCTACCTTGTTGTAGTGAGGCATTGACTGCCTCCTTTACCCAGTTAGTCCCCCTTGGCCTGTTTAATAAGCCAAGAAGGACAAGGGTCCAAGACACATGTGGTGGCTTTTACCTCTCCAAGGATCCTGTCCACGTTATCAGGCTGCATAAGTTGAAAAGTATCCATTAAGAAGTGCCAAGGTTACATTCACTGGCACTGCATCAAATGTAGCATCCAAGTCAGAGTGAATCTGAGCGACATTTCTCTCAGCAGGCTTCACACAGTACCTAGAAAAGCTTCTTGCTTCTGTTCTAGAAACTGCTGGGTTAGCTAGTAGGGGAAGCTACTTGTTATTTTTGTTGTCTGCTTTCATGTCATTTCTGACTTATGGCAACCCTAAAGTAAACTTATCATGCGGTTTTCTTGGCAAGGTTTGTTCAGAGGAGGTTTGCCATTGCCTTCCCCTGAGGCTGAAAGAGTGTGACTTGCCCAAGGTCACCTAGTGGATTTCCATGGCCAAGCCAGCAGTTGAACCCTGGTCTCCAGAGTCCTAGTCCAGCACTTAAACCACTATGCTACGTTGGCAAATAACAACTTGGCTCAGCTATCTTAACAGGTAGAGTTCTAGTTCGGTGCTCAAAATGGAAGAAGTTCTAGTTATTACCCATAATATGTTTCAGCAAATACTTCAAGCATGTTTGTATTTAAACTGTCTCTTGATAAATGCTGTTCTGTCCTTTGGCTAGAGAGCCTCCACTTTATATTCTGGAAGTCTGTGATGTCAGAATGTGTGACCTTCCTGCTTATGGTCATGGATCTGAAATATCCTCCATGCCATCCTTGCTTGCAGTGTGAAACTTGGGCCAAGTGATGCTGTCAATGAAAAAACAGGGAAACCCCTTAAATAAATTGTATTCCATTGTCAGAAAATTGTTTTAGAAAGTGATGTTGGCAGCATGTTGTGCAGTGTTCTGAATGATGCTTTTGGGCCCAGAATTCTTTTTAATTTTTCTGTAGAACACAGCGTTTGCACCCACTCTTGAAATAGCTCCTCTGTCCACACAACTGTCTGTAATTTTGTCTCCTTTTCTTCTCTCTCTCTCTTGTTGAAAAAAGCTCCCCAATGATTCTTTTAAGTATCGTTTCTAGTCCTAACATAATGCACTATGATGATGGGCAGGAAGCTCTCTTATCTTTCTGAAGATCAAATACCAACTCCACTTGAAAGTTCAGCTAGCAGGAATAGTAGAGAGAGAGAGGCTGCTGTCACTTTGCCCTACAGCATGCTTAGCTGGTACCAATCTATTGCATAACACTATCACTTGACTTGGCTTTTGTAGCTGATAGAACAAAAGCAGGGCTGTGGTTGCAGAGGACTAAAGCAAAAGAAGGTTATTTTGTAAAGAATTTGAACCGTGCATGCGCATGTGTGCATGCATGTTGTAATAGCTGTCAAAAAATAATAATGACTTAGCCTCGACTATAAGCCCCTGCAGTTTAGAGGCAAGGGTTATCAGCCATTGAAACAAGTATTTATGCATACAGCTTTACACAGAAGGTCTAAGGAAGTGGTAACATGAGATCTAATTTGGAAAGATTGGCATGCATACACACACGCACACACACACTCACACTATTATAAAATATACCTGTGTCAGACTAGCTGATCTAACCTATGACAAGTGTTCAACTTTCATAGTGGCTATAAATATTCCTTTCACTTTTCTCTGACAGCAAAAATAGAATATTTTTATGAACTGTTGGATGATACATTTGAGTTCTGCACATTGGCACAAATCTACTGGAAAAAGATGCTTCAGAAATTACATTGCCCAGTTTCTCTGGAAAGTGACATAAATGAATATCATTGCTATGTTCTGGAGTAGTACTTAAGCCAATATTGGGAGAGAAAGTGATGAGCAATCCTAAAGATTAAGTTAGGATGCTCATTTGTTGATGAGAAATAATTCAAAATGAATAGTAATTCTAGAGACATTAAATTATTTCCCGGTGAAATACGATTCCTGCTTAATACAGTGAAGAAATAGTGACTTCTCCCCCTCTTATGGATGTTCAGTGAAAATCATAAGCAGCATTCTAAAGATATCATATGCTAAATAAATAAATAAATAAAACAGCACTTTTCTGAACGAAGAGAGTCCTGAGTGATTTTTCTTTCCCTATCCCTACTTGCAGCCATTGTAGGCATTTTTGCTAAGTGGACCTAACACAGTAGTAGTATATTTTATGCTATCACGCCATGATAGAAAAGTGCTTGAAGTTCAGGGGGCATTTGTCTCCTTTCTCACAAATTCATTTAAGTACCAGTCTTGCCATAGCTTTAACTGGGGCAGACAACCATACAAATGACTTGAGATAAAATGAAAATAATGGACTGAGCTGGGTGCCGGGGGTGGTAGTTACACTGCATGCACATCAATAAGCATCGAGTGTTATTCTATGCTAATGTAAGCCTGATGGATCAGCTTTCGCTTTTAGCCTAGAGGACCATTAAGCACTGGAAGCTGGGTCAAACTGATATAGTAAGGCAGATGTAACCCAATGGTTGGCAACAGTAGTTAACAAGCAGTAATTCAGTGTGCAAGACTAATACTGCTTAAATCTTTGTGATGAGGATGGATCAGAGAAAAGATAATATGTTTTGCTTATTAGAAGTGTTTTGATTTTGCAGTGCATAATTAGTATGCAAAACAGAACAAAACCATCAACTCAGTAATACTGGATGCTTCTGAATGTTCTCATTATGTTTCTAAATATTGAATTTTTGCAAAATGGATTCCATAAAAATGTAAATAAATTGTTCTAGCAGAATAATGCATAATTGAAAGATCTCACATCTAATCTCAGCTGAATTAAATGCTATGTGTAGTTCCTAAGGTTGTTTAATGGCCTTGAGAGTACAAACATATAATAGGAAAATGAAAAGTAATATGATATAAAGTCAACTTTTAAAAATAACAACATCATATAAGGCTTTAAAATGGACTTGCCTTGACACCCTTGTGCATTGAAAATTCATCCTTTTGTTGTCTTTTATGCTTACTTACTCATTAGAGATATTAAAAGCTGTATGAATTTTAGCGATATGTACATGGTCTTTGGTTGAGAGTTCTTTGAGTGTTCCAAACCACGTATGCAGATCCTGCATGAGTAAGGAGAGTATTGCAGTGCTAATTAAACCGGTTCAGCTGAACTGGCTTAAAATTTGAAAAGGGTGGCACCCCGATTTTATCACAAGGATTTTGCTGCCGAAATCATTCCAGCCTGGTTCCATCCCCGCTGCTCTGGTGGCCATTTCCTTAAGCCAGAAAATGCCCAGCTTCAAATAAAGCCGTGTTGAATAGCCCTGGGAGTGGGGATGGACCCAGGCTGCACCCAGGTGGCAATTTCGGTGGCAAAATCCTTGTGATAAAATCAGGATGCTGCCCATTTTAAATTTTAAGGTGGCTCAGCTGAGCCAGTTTAATCAGCACTGCGATAATCTCCTAAAATTTCCCATTTATTCCAAGGGAGTGGTTAGTTCTATGTGCCTTACCCTTTTGCTCATTTTAAATTTTAAGCTGGCTCAGCTGAACCAGTTTAATCAGCACTGTGATAATCTCCTAAAATTTCCCATTTATTCCAAGGGAGTGGTTAGTTCTATGTGCCTTACCCTTTTGTGTGGATTAAACTGCTTTTTCAATTAAAATGAATGAAGAAATCTTGCAGGTATACTATCTTTGCAGCATATATAGGCTAGAACCCTGTTAGTGACATATGTAAGCATAAGTACCATTACTCATTATAAATATACTTGTTGTAGTTGTATACATTAGAATAATGTGTAGGGGTTTTATCCTGATTAAGACTTCACAGATTGAGTTCCATTAGTAAAAACATTGAAAAAATGGCTGCATTTCTTAAAGTGTTGAGTAAGTGCAACCCGTAGCATATTTTGATTGGTAGTCTGTTACACAACAGGAGTGTGCACTGGTGTAATGCGAGTTGCACAATTGATTGTGCAGTGGTATAATTCAGTATCTAAGTGGCACAGTGCATTAACATTGTAGCTACACTGATATAACTTTACATTACACAGATCCTCTGCTGCCAGCTTCTCCATGATTATTTACAAGTGTGTTTTAATAATTACATAATTCTATTAATTCTGCCTTTAAGAAAAGATTGATAACAATAGCTGAAATAGGTATTGAATAAAATATGGATTTTGTGTTACTCAAATAACAACTACTACAGTGCTGGCATTACATCAGTAAATGTATTGGTCTCATGAACTACAGTAAAATCATTGTGGACTCCAAATACTAAAAATAAAAAAATAAATAAAAAATTGTAACACATTTTTTCATTAGGGAATTAATTAAGTGCATTAATCACTTAATTCATTCCATGCTTACAGGATCTTGTACCTTCAGTGGGCAGAAATCACAGTATGCTTTAAAAAATCATTTAATTTTTCTCAGATTAAAAAAAAACAGTTATAGGAAATAGTCTCAAAGTACTGGCAGCTTTACCTTGCCTTTAACTTCCTTCAGATAGATACTCCTGCCAGAGTATCAGTTAAATAACAGATAATAATAAATAAAGTTTAAAAAATTGAGAAATAGTAATGTATTTTATTTTGTTATACAGCATGCCTGTGCCAACTGTGGGCTTGCCATTCATAGTTTGTGTTTCCATGGACAATTTTTTCAATGGGCGCATGCACATGTGGCGGCACGAGCAGGAGCACACAGTCATTGAAAAATGGGACTTAAGGTCCCACTTTTTTGCTATCCATGGTGTGTGTGTGTCTGGAACAGATCCCCTGAAGATAGCAAGGGCACACTGCAACTGATACTGAAAACAAACTCCATTGTGAAGTGATGATTGAAAGGAAAGTATGGACTGCCTGGACTATGATACTAGAAAATCTAATTTTTTTTCTGTCCAAGCTGATAGACAATGATTCCACGCCCAAAGCTTGTTTACAACTTGGAAAATCAAATATGTTTCATGAGGTTTGAACTCTTTCAGCTGAACTAATTCCATCCAATTGTCACTAGATAGGGACAACATAAATCAGTGCAAATTGGAATGGGCTTGTGTTCATCTACCCTATCAGGATTTAATCACAGAAATAACATTTGACTCAGTTCTTGTTTCCATTATTGGGTCTTATGAAAACTCCATAATAGATACTACTATCATAAGACATTTTTTTTTAATAGTAGTTAGAATCTGGGACAGGATGTAAGTATTTCTGTACCAGTTACTGGCCACAGGTGAGCAGCTATTATTGGCCTTTGTGAGATGGCCACGAAGCCTGCTATGTCTGCAACTCAGCACCTATATGCCCTGAAGCTATTCATTCTCTTCTAAGCTAGGAGCATGTGGGTTTTGGTATAGCCTGGTGTTATGTCATTGTAAAGTGCCTCAGACTGCAAAAGGGCAAATGTTGCTGTTTCCACGTCCCCTGCTGCAGAAAGGGTATTTGAGCAGAAATTTAGAATATTAGCTGGCAGGGTATCATACTTGTCTATTCTTCCCAGGATGAAAAGGTCAGATTGGTAAGGTTCTGCTTA